GTGTGTGTGTGTGTGTGTGTGAGTGTGTGTGTGTGTGTGTTGGTTTACCCGCTGAGAGCTGACGAACAGCTTATGAATGATGTTTCCAGCAGGTCCTCGTCCGGCTCCAACCACAGAAACCTCGGGTTCCTCCAGCAAACAGCTGACAAACCTGACAGACGACAGACAGGAACAGCGTTAGAACACGAGACTGAGCGTCACAGGAAGTATGAATGATGTTTCCAGCAGGTCCTCGTCCGGCTCCAACCACAGAAACCTCGGGTTCCTCCAGCAAACAGCTGACAAACCTGACAGACGACAGACAGGAACAGCGTTAGAACACGAGACTGAGCGTCACAGGAAGAGCGTGCAGGAGAGTTTAGATGAAGAAAGAGGATTGTTTATCATGTTCATATTCGTCATACTGAGAAATGAAACGGGAAATGCAGCCTGCTCAACACACTCACACACACACACACACACACACACACACACACACAAAAGCTCTTAAAATGGTATTATGAACTTACAGTTTCATTGATGACTTTTATTAAATAAATATTCTCCACGTGATGCACAAAAAGCCGTGCAATACCTTAGGAGAAAATAATGTAGGCAGCTCCAGGTCAGGTCTTAATGAGGCCGGCGTGTCTCTCCTGACCGGCCTGCTGTGGCCCCTGAGCGGCCCCTGGGAACTAACGAGCAGCAGGAGACTCTCTGACATGCCCTTCCTGCTCTTGTCAGCCCGACACACACACACACACCGCTCCAAACGCGCTTTAAAGGCAGGTTCATCATGCTCAGGACAGCAGCGGTGTCTCGCTCACAGATCACATGTGTTCATTATCAAACACAGCGCTTCAGCTCCGTTCAACACATTTACTGCCTTCCAAACCTCACTGTCTGATGCTGAACACAAACAACACTGGAGCACATGACTTTTACTGTTAAAAAATCTCTTCTTTTATGTTCCCCAATGAAAGAGTTCATTCTGGAACATGAGTAAGAAAATAATGACCAATCATTTCAGGCTGAATTCCTGCTTTTGGTCAGAGATTGTGACATGATGCTGAAAAACTAAATTATGACAGGTTTTGGAACAGAAAACTTCACTAACATTAGAAGTCACAGAATCACACAATCACATTTATGCATCTGGAAGAAGCTTTTATCAAAAGCGAGCAGTGATATCAGATTTGTGCCGATATCCAATATTTTCCGACTCATACGGACACCAGCTGATACGGACACACATTTGTTTTATGTTTCTGTGGAAACAGCTCCACGTCTCTCCTGCAGCAGAATGAACTCTTACTGTAAAACACATTCTGCTGGAGGATAACAAGCAAAGGCAGCTGTAGACCTCAGCTAAACATTTAGAGAACAAAGAACAAGGCTGGAAGAACCTGAACAATGACTGCGCTGAACTGACCGGATCACCAACAGCACTGTAATTTTAACCTTAGAAAATTCACTAAATTAATTCAAAAATACGAGCAAACTTGTGGCTATTTTACACTGTAACAATGAGACCAGTGAGCAACGATAAAACATAATAGAAACAAAATGTTTCTTATAGCCTATTTGTTCTACTGATTTTTTGCATCTGTTCTTATTTATAACAAAGATAGAAAAAAAAACAGCTATATTATGATTATTAATACAGTAATTATTATTAAGAAAAGAACTGGTCCTATCTCACAGGTATGTCTTTCAGGGTGTCCTGGGGAGGAGAGGTCTCCAAAGCACATCAACTGGTCACTGGGGTTCCTCAGGGCTCAGTTATAGGACCGCTCCTCTTCTCCATATACACTACATCACTGGGTCCCATCATACAGGCACATGGCTTCTCCTACCATTGCTATGCTGATGACACACAGCTCTATCTCTCATTTCAACCACATGATCCAACGGTAGCTGCACGGATCTCAGGCTGCCTGGCGGACATCTCGGCATGGATGAAAGAACATCACCTACAGCTCAACCTGGCAAAGACTGAGCTTCTTGTCTTCCCTGCCACTCCAACTCTACAGCATGATTTCACCATCCAGCTAGGTTCTTCTACAATTACCCCATAAACTTCGGTCAGAAATCTTGGTGTAACCTTTGATAACCAGCTGACCTTCAAAGAACACATTGCAAAGACCGCTCGATCTTGCAGGTTTGCAGTGCACAACATCAGAAAGATCAGGCCCTTTCTAACGGAGCATGCTGCACAACTTCTTGTCCAGGCCCTTGTCATCTCTAGGCTGGACTACTGCAATGCTCTTCTGGCTGGACTTCCATCAAGCACAATCAAACCTCGACAAATGATTCAGAATGCAGCGGTACGACTGGTCTTCAACGAGCCCAAAAGAGCCCATGTTACACCTCTCTTTATCTCCCTGCACGGGCTACCGGTTGTGGCTCGCATCAATCAATCAGAATCAGAATGAGCTTTCTTGCCAGGTATGTTTACACATATGAGGAATTTTTTTTGTGACAGAAGCTTCCACAATGCATCAGAATGACAGTGACAGGACAAAAACACAGATAATAAAAGAGAAAAAAATAAAATAAAATTAGAACAAGTAAATAGGCAATAACGATATACAAATTGACAATTGTATGTACAGGTGTATTACAATAGACAGTTTTGTATGTACAGGTATATTATGTGCAAGTTCGTAATGTAAACTAAGTATGTGTGTTAGATAAATAAGTGTATAAATAGTGTTGTGTGTTCCACAATTATTGTCAAGTGTTCATGAGATGGATTGCAATCCTTAGCTTTTCAGAATAATTCCTTTTTGCCACTCTGATCTCCTTTTCCAGAGTGTATTTGGCCTGTTTATACAAGACTCTGTCCCCATTCCTGCGAGCATCTTCTTTGGCCTGACGGAGCTGTCTGAGTTTTGCAGTGAACCAGACAGTTTTGTATGTACAGGTACTGTATATTATGTGCAAATTTGAGGTGTAGACTGAGTATGTGTGTTAGATAAATAAGTGTATGAGTTAATAAATAGTGTGTGTTCCACAGTTATTGTCAAGTGTTCGTGAGATGGATTGCCTGAGGGAAGAAACTGTTCCTGTGTCTGGTCGTTCTGGTGGTCAGTGCTCTGTAGCGTCGACCAGATGGCAACAGTTCAGAGAGGGAGTGTGCTGGATGTGAGGGGTCCAGAGTGATTTTGCCAGCCCTTTTGCTCACTCTGGATAAGTACAGTTCTTGGAGAGAAGGGAGGGTTGAACCAGTGATTCGCTCAGCAGTCCGGACTATACTCTGTAGTCTTCTGAGGTCAGATTTGGTAGCTGAGCTGAACCAGACAGTTATTGAAGTGCAGAGGATGGATTCAATGATGGCGGAGTAGAACTGTTTCAGCAGCTCCTGTGGCAGGTTGAACTTCCTCAGCTGGCGAAGGAAGTACAACCTCTGCTGGGCCTTTTTAACAATGGAGTCAATGTGAGTGTCCCACTTCAGGTCCTGAGAGATTGTGGTGCCCAGGAACCTGAATGACTCGACTGCAGTCACAGTGCTGTCCATGATGGTGATTGGAGGAGAGGGGGGTTGCAGGAGGTGTGAATGGTTGTGTGGAGAAGCGTTCTGAGCGGGTGTGGGTGTTTTTTCAAACCTGCAGTAAAACTCATTCAGATCGTCTGCCAGTTGTTGAAGCTCCACAGTGCTGGGGGATGGTGTCTTGTAGTTGGTGATGTCTTTCAGACCTTTCCACACTGAAGCCGTGTCATTGGAAGAGAACTGAATCCTTAGCTTTTCAGAATAATTCCTTTTTGCCACTCTGATCTCCTTTTCCAGTGTGTATTTAGCCTGTTTATACAAGACATTATCCCCCTTCCTGTGAGCATCTTCTTTGGCCTGACGGAGCTGTGACTCTGTCCCCATTCCTGCGAGCATCTTCTTTGGCCTGACGGAGCTGTCTGTGTTTTGCAGTGAACCATGGTTTGTCATTGTTGTAGGTTAAATGAGTCCTGGTAGGAATGCACATGTCTTCACAGAAACTGAGGTCCCGTCCACACGGAGACGCGGATAGCTGTATATACGCATACATTTTGTATCGTATAGGCGTTTCGTCCAGACGGATCCGGCATTTTGGGAGAGTGAAACGGATATTTTTTTAAACCGGGTCCCAGAGTGGATAAATCTGAAAACGCCGCCCTTGCGCTTTCGTGTGGACAGCGAAAAGATTTGCTTTATTAACGTCTCAGAGAATGGTTAAAACAGAGTCCGGGTGTTGTTGCTCTGTCTCTGTGATCAGATCAGCGAGTTTCTGTAAAGCCAGGCTCACGTGTTTGATCAGCGCTGCAGCTCCGCCAACTACAACGTTCAGCAAAACGTCAGAACAGTCAAAAACCGGTGAAATATTGGGTGGTGTGTACTGCCGAATGTCCAGCAATTCATCTCTGGTGAAACTGATTGCAGGGATATAACTAAAGACAGGACAAACTAATAAAAACATAAAAACAACTGCGGAGCACACCACGGAGGCAGCCATCAGCGGCACCATCTTGTGCCCCTTTCACACTGCACGTTGGTCCCGGAAAATTGCCGGAGTGCCTTCTGTGTGAACGCAAACACATCCCGGGATTGATTCCGGGATTGATCCCGGGTTGGGGACCTAGTAACATTGCCGGGTTCAGTCCCGGAACGAGCTCTGTGTGAACAAAAGCCAGAACCAATGCCGTAAAGGGTGTGTCGTAGTGATGACGCACTTTATTGTGCGACTCTTTTGCCGGGTGTTTTGAAGGCAGATCAATGTTCGCGACGAAAAAATATGTGCAAACTGTAATGAAGCAGAGATCAGGTAGCTCCTCACTATCTGCGCTGAAGCTGAGATCGTTCACCAGCTTAAATGAAACAGAACGCGTCACATTACACGTCACATCGTAATGTCACGTGTCTTTACGGGATGTGTGTGAACGCACGAACAGTCTGTTTGCCTCTTTAAGAAGAATCGCTTTATGTATCCCCCAATTGTAAGTCGCTTTGGATAAAAGCGTCTGCTAAATGAATAAATGTAACTGTAACTGGAGGAAAAGATGTAATGCTGCTAGGTGATTTTGCCTTGGAACATTCAGAAAACTTTTAACTAGATTTTTCTCAGAATTGACATCGCTTCAAACAGGCATGGTTCAAACATTGTTACGTCCGATTCCAACAAATCATATATCATTTTGAAGGTCTTTTAATGGAGAATGTGAAACTACAAATATCTAATTTTGGAAAGTTTGCTCATTGTGACTCATTTTGCCAGCACTGGTCACATGTAGTGCTTGCACTGACCAGCAGATCAAGCTTTACCTCTCCAGCTCGTCAGCGTCGTCCTCCCGCTGTCCTCCGGTGATGCCAAACTTGGCCTTGAGCGATCGGGCGCAGGCGATGACGGCCTCCACCGCGCTCATCTGAACGATGACGTCCTGAAACACACACACACGTCTGACACTAGAGCTGCACGATTAATCGTTAAAAGATCGTGATCCTGATTCAAACACCCACGCAATCTAGTTTTTAAATGACAACGATTCGCCCGTGTCTATTAAACCTTTGAAAAAATCATACGGAAAGTTTTTCAAATCTGTGTTCGCACTGCTGCTGACAGAGAGAGCAGACAGTTAGCATGTTTAGATCAGAAACAGCGTCACAAACAACTACACAGTATTATTTCTGTCTTACAGTCATTCATATTATCACAGAAATACTGGGATGAAAGTTTATAGTTCAAATATAAACACTGATGTGATGTCTATGGTAGCGATCAAAATAGAGAAAAATCGCCTTTAAAGTTGTCCAAATGAAGTTCTTAGCAATGCATATTACTAATCAAAAATTAAGTTTTGATATATTTACGGTAGGACATTTACAAAATATCTTCATGGAACATGATCTTTACTTAATATCCTAATGATTTTTGGCATAAAAATTTTGGCTATTGCTACAAATATACCCCAGCGACTTAAGACTGCTTTTGTGCTCCAGGGACACATTTTGTATTTTAAATACATATATTAAATATTAAAATGTTTAATAATTCATTCAAATTAATCAATCATTTTTAAATAGACTGCAGCAATTAGGCCTAATATTTTGTCGCACATTATTGTGTTTAGTTCAGAATCGTGGGAGAACCGCGATTCTCAGTTTATCCAGACTCGTGCAGCTCTACCTCCAGCTTCTTGAAGTCAGGGTTGGGGTGCCGCAGCAGTTTGCTGGCGTGAGCGGTGACCTGCTGCAGAGCTTTACGCACCGACGCGATGTCTTCAGTCGCCTCTGGAGGAGAGATCACGTTTACAGCGGCAGTGACGTCACACACTGTATTTACAGTTCAGAGAGTCACACTGACCTTCCTCCTTGATCTTGAGCAGAGCCGCGTGCAGCACACAGGGCATCAGGTGCCGCGTCAGATCCGACGCTTTCTGCTGCGACAGGTAATGCAGCACCTGCACACACATATCAAACATCATTAGCTCATTTAAACCCAATATAATGCCCAGACTAACCCACACCACACCAGAAACTGACTGGAGAGTTTAAATTGAACTAAAAAACAAAACAAGGTAATTTTTCCAGTCGATTATGTTCCCAAATGTCCCTAAAAGGTTTTTTCATTGTGTGCAAACTAAAGCTAACACACACACACACACACTTAATAACAAACACACACACACACTCAATAGGGTCACATGATTGGTTGATTCTAGATTTTTTTGTCAAGGAAAGTAACAAAGCTGTTCTCTTGATGCCATCAAAAGTTTCCTGATTTTGTTACTGCAGACGCTCTTTCATAATTTAAACTCGCTGCTCACTCAACTCTGCTGAAATTAATCATATTATATCTCTGATGAGAGAAGACAAATACATACAGTGTTGGCCAGTAACTACTTACATGTAACTAAATTACGTAATTTAATTATAAAATAAATGTAATTGTAATCAGTTACAGTTACTGAGGAAAAAAAAATAGTTAATTAAAAAAATGCTTTAATTGACTTCTTTCAGAAATTGCACTAACTGCTCTAAAATATGAGACCGCAATGCTTCAGGAGTTTAGGACACAGAACAGCACACATGCTTATTTGATAACTGTTTTATTTCCTATTTGGGTTTATGTATATGCTTTATTTCTTAAGATGCATTAACTGTCTTTTTCCAAGGCATTGCTAGATGCCAGTGTTTTGATTTCAACAACAGTATCATAGCTATTAAACTATTTATTGTTTTGGTTTTAAATCTGTATTTAACCTCAGAATGATCTCAAAGCATGTCTGAATTTGTAGTGGCTGTTCTTTAAATTACATTATTATAATCTCAATTCAACTGATGAAGGATTCTGACAGTAATCAGTGTTGAGTGCTACTCTAAGGTTAACTCTGCCTGCTTTACATCTTTGAAAACGATTAACAGTTGAAAACATTAGAAATTTAGAAAAGTAATCAAAAAGTAATCGGTTACATTACTTTAATAAAGTAACTGAAATAGTTACACTACTTATTACATTTTAGACAGAGTAACTTGTAATCTGTTACATTTCCAAAGTAACGTTTCCAACTCTGCATATATATAAAGATATGATACAAAATATTAGGCATGTTAAAGGTTGCTATTATTTTTTTCATATTGAGCATTTAAATAAATTATTTTAACATAACTTCTGAGTTCAGATTTCATTTCAATTTCAAACATAATATTTTGTTTTAAGCATTTTAATAGTTAAACTATTTAATCGTAATGTTTCTGACTTTACATGTAATTTTAAGCACTATTTTTTAAATGATTTGAACACATTTCTGATTTCAAATGTAATTTAAAGCAGTTTAATTAATTGTAAGCATTATTTGAATACAACGCTTCTGACTGTAAATATAATTTCAAGTGATTTAAATGTTGAATTTTTCTAATACAACTGTAAGTGTAATTTTAAGTGATTTATTTGTAGGTGTAATGTTAGGGTGCTGTAGTGACCGATGCAGTGGGCTGTTGGGAAGGTTTTTACTGTACGCTCCTGTCACGAGGACACGTTACTGGAGCAAAACACACTAAATAACTCCTGAGTAAATCCTGCAGCTTCCCCACGAGGACGCGACAGACGGCTGAAGGACAGAAGAGACGCCTGGCGCTCTAACACACTTCCAGCAGGCCTGCGCTCTGATTGGCTGCTCTGAGGGAATCATGGGATGTGTGTGTGGTTTATAGCACGTGAGTGTGAGCAGATGAAGACTGAATGATTAGGGATGCACTGAAATTAATATTCTTGGCCGAAGTCGAACAAAATGAAACACTGGGCCGAATACCGAACACGGTTTTTCACGGTTTTTCGCCTTTTTTTTTTTTCCACCATTGCATAAATTAAATAGCCAGAATGTGCTTTTTACGGTTTTGTCTTGCTTTTCAAAGAAAAAATCAATTACAAAACAACAATTAAAAAACTTAACACTGAACTTTTTTTTTTACATTCTAGCAGACATTATATCAACAAAGCACAATTTAACTTAAAATTAATAAGTTAGTAAAATAATATTTTTAGGCCATTTTTGAGACCGTCTTCTTGAATCAGTTATGTTTTTTTACTGTACAGATAAATGCAGGCTTGCTGAGAAGAGACTTCTTTTAAAACATTAGAAAATATTACAGATCCCAATTTGAACACTATGTGTGAATGTTATAATAAATGTATTAATAGAGCTGTTGTAATTATTATTATCATCATCTTACTTATTGTTTTATTTTACAGAACAACAGTAAAATTACAAAACTAACATTTATGAATGTTGATGGGAGTTGTTGCTTTTTCTCGGATTTTATTTTGGCAGAAACCCGCAGGAAGACCTCAGTGCTAATTTTTGTTGACAGCAGCAGATTTATAAATGATTCTCATTACGAATTCAGGAAGATGTTTGTCGCACGTATCACATGCCTTGTAAAAATTAATAAAAATGTGACTGTGCATCTGATGAGTAACACAGTTTCAGAGCAGATTTTCCTCACGCTTTGGACTCTGAACCCTGGCTAACGAGCTGGTCATTGCTGTCAGAATACTGTATTAGAAACATAACATTCTGCAGTGTATTTAAATGTTTAAGGCTATTTCTCGATTTCAATCATCCTCTTCTCATCAGAGACATGCGATGCAGTGCTAATCAGTCTCTGGCTGTCGGTGCTTCTAATGATTTTTGCGTTTTTCTCGGACAGTTTTAAATGCTTCCACACTGCGACATGTTTGCTGCATTAGTGCGCGCCTCTATTTGATCACGTCACATCATTGTTCGGTAGAATTTATTCAGTCTTTTCGCTTATTTCGGTTGCTGAACATTCGATGCATCTCTAATGAATGATCATGTTTGTGTGGCTTGAAATGAATATTATCAAAATATTCATATTAATCAAAAGCGGATCACGTTTCTGGACCGAGGTCGTCCGAATCCAGACTCAGGGTTCTGACCTTCTCAGCCTCTTTGGTGTCGTCGAACAGCCTCTTCTGTCGGCGGGCCGGCGTGGCTTTGGCCGTCTCCCAGGCCTCCACCCACATGTTCCCCGGGATCTTCATGCGGGGGCTCCGGTCGCCCCGTATGACCGTCTCTCCCGCCTCCACCCCTTCCTCCTCCACGTAATCTCTCGGAGAATACCAGCGCACGAAATCCTCCAGACAACAGCCGGGATTCGCTGCCTGTGGAAACACACACACACACACACACACACACAAGTTTAA